GGGGGGGGGGGGGGCAGAGAGAGAAGAGACAGAGAATCCCAAGCAGGCTCCACACTGCCAGGCTCAAATATGACCGGATCATGACCTGAGTCGAAACCAAGAGTCACATGCTTAACCCACTGAGCCACTCAGGTGCCCCCCACCTACCTCTTTTTGATGCTTGGCTGAAAATATACATGAACTTCCTTTGTAAATTAGAACACAAACATTAAAGTACCACTGTAACACCAAATTTCAATCTCATTAAAATGAAAACTCCTTTAACTTTATTAATTTCATAGTAACTCTGAGTACAATTGGACATTACCCTTAAATACTATTTCTGGTGGTTTTATATATCCCCTTTTCGATGTGGGAACATATGAGAAAGAGGTAAGTTTTAGTCAGAAAGAATTTCTATTCAGTACCAGAACAAAGAGGGGGAGCTCTTAGAACGATCTCTCAGATCCTTTACGGGCAGATCTAGGAATCCAGACCTCTCAGTGACCCTGCAAGGAGGTGGCACAATTTCAGATCTATGTTGTATAAACAGATCAACCAGAGGAGGTTCATTCTCTCAGCAAAATGAATCTCTGTGACACAGTGACATCCTCTTAGCCGTGTTGCTCTGCACCACTCTTGCTTACCTGGAACATACTTAGAATCCAGGCTGTAGCCAACTCTTACCTTGGCAATGTAATTTTCTCTAAATAATATTGCATGTACAGCTTCATCAATGTCTTCTCTAGCTAACACCTAAAATTACAGAACTGAATGTCAGGATGTAAATCCTAAAGAAATAAAACAGAATGACAAAATTCATTGTATTTTACCAATACTTTTACTGTAAATCTACTGCTTATACCTCAAAGAATATTTTGTAACATTTTTATTAAGGAAAATTTTAATTTAAATTTTAGTTAATTTGCATTCAGTGTAATATTGGTTTCATGAGTAGAATTCAGGGATTCATCTCTTACATACAATACCCAGTGCTCATCACAAGTGCACTCCTTAGTACGCATTACCCATCTAGCCCGTCTCCCACCCACCTCCCTCCATCAGCCCAATTTGTTCTCTATCACTCAAAGTCTCTTGTGGTTGTTTCCCTCTCTTCTCTCCCCCTCCCCATATGTTCATCTGTTTTGGTTTCTTAAATTCCACATATGAGTGCGATCATATGGCATTTGTCTTTCTCTGATTGAGTTATTCTGCTTAGCATAATACACTCTAGCTCCATCCATGTCATTGCAAATGGCAAGATTTCGTTCTTTTTGATAGCTGAGTAATATTCCAGTGTGTATATATACCACATCTTCTTTATCCATTCATCAGTCAATGGGCATTTGGACTCTCTCCATAGTTTGGCTATAGTTGACCAATGTTGCTATAAACATCGGGGTGCATGTATCCTTCAAATCTGTATTTTTGTATCCTTTCAGTAAATACCTAATAGTGCAATTGCTGGATGGTGGGTGATGTTCTATTTTTAGTTTCTTGAGCAATCTCCGCACTGCTCTCCAGAGTGGCTGAACCAGTTTGCATTCCCGCCATCAGTGCCAGAGGGTTCCCCTTTGTCTGCATCCTCGCCAACAGCTGTTGTTTCTTGTGTTATTAAGAGAAATTTTCAAACACGATTTTCTGTGAACCCAAGCTCAATATTTATCACCTTAGGGCTTTTCATCTGGATCACTATGAACTGATCGTCCAACTTTTATGCTTATAAGACTAAGAAGGAACAAATGGAAAGACAATAAAAATCCAGTATCTGGAAGAGATATGCTATTACCTAGAACTAGTGTAAAATAATACAGGTTCTTAAAACTATGTTTTTCAATCTCTGGCTCTTCTTTCAGTTCTTTCAAGTGAATGCATCAAAACAAACTAGACCCCAAACTCAGATAACAAATTTGTGAATAAAAGAAATCTCAAAAAGGAGAGTTGCATTGTTACCCATATATTTAACAGCAACACATGAAATCTAAAATAATATTCAGACAGCTCTTCAGGTCTTCAAAATAAAACTATCTTGTTGATGTAAGCAGAATTTTGCTTTGACTCCTTCTTAGACTCATTTTAAGATGGCAATTGAAAAACCATGTAAAACATTTAAGTGTTTTCCCCTGATACTATAGACTTAGAACAAATCAATCTATTTATTTGGAGAAGTAGAAACATCTACTTTGACAAACATCGTGGAAAATCACATTTTTTTTTACCCATTCTATTCTCAGCATATATTATAATATTGATCATGAGTCTGATTTTCAAACTACTTTTTGTTTGTTTAAGGAAATAAACATTTTTGACTTCCATAGCTCCGAGCTTTGTGATTTTGCCAGAAAACATAAGGAAGATGTTAATGACTTTTGGCAGCACTTTTGAAACCCACAGCTTTTCATGCCCACGCACGCGCACAGACACAAATGTTTAAAGGTCTCACCACTTTTACTGCTACCACTGCAAAAGGAGCAAAATAAAGGACTACTCCAAGAGCTTCTCTTTACAGTGAGGCAAATTATAGGATCATGTAAAATAATGACACTTCCTTTATGAGGAAATCATTGCTTTACCAGACCCTTAAGTAGCAGAATCAACTGGCGAGCCCAGACCTGGCTTCTCCGCCGGCAGAGCTCTGGGACTGCAGCCTGTACCCACCCACCGTACCGCCCTGTGGGTGTCCTGAACCTCTAGTGAGCGACAGCAGGGGCACTCGAACCACTCTTGATCAAATTTGGTCCCGGATCATTCCCATTCAGTGAATTCTTAACAGTGCCTTGCTTCTGCCAGGCATTGTTCCAGTTCTAGGGAATCCAACCGTGACTAAGACAAAATACTTCTCAAGAGATTTATGTCCCATCGCCAAAATAACGTCCCCAAATGCCACGTTACTTTACCTCCATTAAAGCAACTGACTCGAGCTCTGGCCATTCTTTTAATTTTTCTGGCCTGAAATGTTCACCACAGGTAGATACTTTCTTGGAAGCCATAGATAATAGGATCCCTGAGGGGAGAGAGTAAATTGAGGAGACTTGGTAAGGCAGAAAGCAGTTTGAATCCTGGCTCTGCCACGTGGTAAAGTCCCTAAGTAAAACAAACAAAAACAAAATCCTGGCACCCCCCCCCCAAGACTCAGTTTCAAAAGGGGTAATTACGCTTCCCCCACATATTGCTGTGGGGTCACCCACCCAGCCTGGGGCTCC